CCCCAAAACCCCAAAACCCCAAAACCCCGAAAGGTGTTAATTAGTAAGATATTGAGCTATATCAAGTTAAGTATATAAATATTATGCTGTTCATTAATCTTTGTAGGTAGGAGGTGGAACCACTCCTTACATATTAGTGTTATTACTTACATTTTTCAGAGAATCAAAATTTCGGCTTCCATTAAACTAAGTCTTAGAAGGTCTGTGATATCCCTTTCCGCCCACAGTCATATTTTAGTTCTGCATCTAGTTTTATAAGAGTCTAATTGGGCTAAAGACTTTTTTTCCTGAGACATTATTATAGTTAATATTGTTAATGCCTCCAGACACAGTATTTTGAGGGTTTGATAAGTTATTGTTGTTGAATACTATTTTATTCTTTGAGAGCTCAAGTACCTAGTTGTTGTTTAATTGATAGAAGGTCTTATTTTTCTAATCAACTAGTATAGGGTCATTATTATTAGGTTGAATGTAAAACGACTGATTCGCTTTCTGAGATATTTGCTTTTACTGTTACCTTTATTTGGCTTGATAGTGATTATATAACTCTGAAATATTCAGTCCGATTTCTTGAGCATTAATTGGAGTTTTCAAAGGTCTGTTTTAAACAGTAGTACTATAGTTTTAAACATTTTGATTAAAAACTATTTGAGAGTTATTACGTCCATTATAGGGCTAAGCAGCTTGGATTTAAGCTTAATTGGGATTAAAGTTTAAATTATTGGAAGCTCTTCTTTATTGTTTTCTTTCAATTTATTAGGCAATACTTTAATTTTACGTTGAATATTAAAGCAAAATGCTTTCATTCAAATTTTAAATGTTAGTGTTGTTATTTCTTTGAGGACCTAGAAACTATTAAATTCCAATAAATGAACCTGATAGATTATCTATTGAGTTATCAATGACATGCTTCTGATCTCTTGATCGAGTAATATGCCCAGGCTTCTAGGTACTCTTAGATTATTTTTGTAAAATCTTATTATTATCAATCTGTGGGCTTTGGTTATTTTAAGTTCTAGTGCCAGCAGTGGTAGTCTGTCCATACTGTGAATTCTTATCCTGACTTTAGCCACCATTTGAGTAAGGTCTAGTACCCTACTTGGAGCTAAATACGGAATCTTTTCTAATATTAGAATTGGTTTTAAAGAAGCTCTGGCTATTTCTATTAGTTGAGTTTCTTGAGTTATTTTCTTTGGTTTGATTTTGGCTTTTTTCGGTATCGATAGCCATTCCTGGATTTGGCTGATATGAAAAAGTTTAGTTCATCTTAGCATAATTAATAGTAACTTCTCTTTGCTCTTTATTCCCGTCATTTGAGCTGCCTCTTTCTTTCACCTTTTTGGATATCAAAGCAATATTATTCATCAGATTCTTAATATTCTCTTGCTGGCTGAAATTTTTAATCTTTATCTGATTTGCAAATTGATCATTCATACTGTTGTTTTTTCTATGGCCTCCCTAACTTACTCCCTTTATTATCTATGGGTTTTAAGTCATATTAAGAGAAGATTTTAGAGCATAATCTAAGGCAGACTGATCATGCTTCTGATTGTTAATTATTGAATTCGGTTAATGTCTGTCAATTTCATTAAATTGAGTCATATTTAAAGGATTAGAAAGCTTTTACATATTTTTTAATGGATCTAATTTAGCTTTATAATTTGTAACATCTGGGCTATTTTAAGACAGAAAAGAGTTTCTACCTACTATGATTTTATTTGTACCCTCGTTAGTGTTGTCTCTCACGTTCTTGCTCTTAACTATTTCATAGTCTTCCTCGAATAGAGGCCTTTCACAGCTTTCAGCTTTTCGCTCTGCCTCTGCTTGCCATCTAGCATTTCTCGACTCAACCGTTTATGTTGGATTATGACTTTGTTCCCTTCGGTGCTATTTTAGGACTAATTGATCAACTGTTGGAGCTAATAAGTTAACGTTTTCCTCTTGTCCTCTTTCTCTTAGTGTTTGCTCTATAGAAGGATTTGAATTGATTATTTAAATTCTTACTCTATTTGACTCTTGTAAACTTTGCCAAAGATTCAGGAAAGAATGACTCAAGGTAAGGTCTGTTTTATCTGACCATTAATTTTTTCAAAAGGAGGTAGTAAGTAGCTGTTAAATGATTATGCTTGTTGTTCTTAATAGATTTAATCAAGCTTTCCTTATTGAATCCAAGCTGGGACTCAAGTTAGTTTACGATCTTAATGTTAATCTAGGTCAGATTTCTCTGAGTATTGAAACTCTGACACTCAGGCTAGTGGAGTTTGTACCAAGGATGATTCCTTATTTCCTCGATACCTATTCTCTCGTCCGGGTTCGTTACAAAAATCTTTGAAATCATATCTTTTGCATCCTCAGATAGAAACTTGGGTAATGTATACTCAGCACTCAGTATTTTCTTGTAAAGGTTTGACGTTTTTTAGTCCTAATGTTTTATGATAAAGAAATGTATTTACCTCGTAAGGTAGGTAGCCACACAACATTGCATACAACACTACACCACAACTCCAAAGATCGGACTTTAAACCATAATATTTATTTCCAGCAATCATCTATATTAGGATACAATCATAATTATTAAATGAGTTACCTCTGGAGCTGCGTAACAGGGGCTACCACATGCGGTCTTTAGTAATCCACCTTGCTCGTACATATTGCTCAGCCCGAAATCAACCATCTTGAGTGACTAGTCATAGTCAATAAGTAGGTTCTCGGGCTTGAGATCCCTGTGACATATTCCAATGCTGTGGATGTAATTGATAGCAGCAACCAGCTCTTAAAAGTACTTGCACGCTAATTTCTCCTTCAATCTCTGATTCTGAACAATTATGTCAAACAACTCTCCTCCTTGAGCGAATTCCATCACAAGGTAGAGATCTTTGTCAGTTTCGATGATTTCATACAGCTAAACAACGTTAGGGTGATGTGTCTGCTTAAGGATTTTAATTTCCCTGGAAATTCGTTCAACATCTTTCTTATCTTTAATTTTGGTCTTTTCAAGTACCTTAACTGCCACCTGCAAGGAATTTAACATCATATGAGATTTAGATAATAAAATACCTTTTCCCCCGTAAGGATATGCGTGCCAAGTTTGACCTTGCCGAAGGTGCCTTCTCCTAGAGTTTTGCCGAGAATGTAGTGTCCAACGGCATTAGAGTTAGTCTTAAACATTACAATTTAATTATCAAATATATTCGATGCCTCTTTTAATTTTACTATTCCGAGCTACCACTTAGTCCTCATCATTTTCAATACAATGGGGTTTTGGGGTTTTGGGGTTTTGGGGTTTTGGGG